TATGTGGCCAATAATGGGAATTGGGATGGGCAACCAAGGATGTGCATGTCAGTATTTTTATTCTCCCAGACGAATCCGATACCGATTAACCGTCTCGGATGGACGGAGGAATTGCAAGCATAGGAGTCTAGAAATGCTGCAGGTCCCTCGCCCATACGGATATGATACCACACCACTTGACCCTTCGACAAGCCAATCTCATAAGACGGTTTCAATGTCCATGACCAAATCATGGTAAAGGATAAAGTCTTGGAGTGTTGATCGAACCCGTCTAATAGACGTCACGCACTCCATTTATTCATGATCGTGATGGCGTATTGAATTCGAATGTGGCCTATTCAATGACATGCTTGGCCAGCCGATACGTATATCGGTGCTTATATCCGCCCAGATGGAAGGATTGGTTGGTCCAGGCGGATTCTATCCAGGATTCGAGCCCGTGTCCTTACGTGTGTGAGATCTGCCACTTGCCACTACACCACTTGCTGTTAAAATGTTGATGATCTTTCTTGGCATTTTCAACATAGTATCCGGAGGCGCCGCGATGGAATACTTTATGCTTGGGAACATTCGGCCGCAACTAAGCTTCCCACGAGGTCTCCGAGGTAATCTGTAATGCAGAGTACGCTCAACTATCGGATGGCACAGCGAGCATACACAAGACTAATGAGTTTCTAATTCTCTTCTAAATAGAAGTTGGATTCATAGCACTGTTTCCTGAGAGAAGTCGCATTGAAAGCGCAGTTCACAAAAATTCTGACGTGTTCAGCTTGAGCAAAGCAGTGGAAGTTGTGCTGCAGAACAGTGCAAATATGGCAAAGGAAGCGATGAAATTGGCGAATTTCGAGAATTATAAGGCTTCAAAAAGCGATGGAAAAGGGCACAAGGTTATGTGTCTATAAGCATCTGGGCGTCTCCCTCATTAGCGTACTATTCGTCAACGTCCTAACGCTTGGTTGTGACTGGTGTAGACTTAACAAGGCTGCCATAACCATAAGGGCCATTTTTGAAAGTGTACCTCAGTCAAGTAGGTATTGGAGCTCCCACAACGCCCTGTCCAGGGAATTTGTCGTCCTGGATATAACCCACTTGCTGTCTTTGACGCCACAGTTTCATCCTAGAAAGGGATCTCAGGAATAATTTTTATCTCTGGCTGTGCCTTTAACCTTTCAAAACTACTGTCTTATACCTGAGTTTCCATATATTGTTTGCTATTTCTTACTGGTTATTTCCGAAACCAAACGAAGAGGGCTACTCTTATCGTCAGATGCAATTCTTTCTTATTCTCCGTTTTGCGTCAAAACAATTTCCGAGATACCGTTGCCAAATCTTCTCGTTCTGAGGCGAATTCAATGGTCTTTCCACTTTTTATTGGCTCTCCCGCACTCAATCATAATCTCTACGCTCAAGGTAACCAATAAGTAGAGGTTCATAATCGCCAATCCTATCCGTCCTGGAATGAGGCATGCGCTCGGCTCCCAGTCCTCTGAATGGCAGTTGCACCAAAGGGTGAATTTGGTATGCCCCACATCGTGCAGAGACCAGATGATGTACAATCACCTGTTTTTTCTTCTTAGCAGCAAGGTACCAGGAATACATTCGAAAGCCGGAAGTTCCTTCACCTCCTTAGGTGGATAGCTTTGAACTGTTTCCTCCCCACAGTAGACAGATCCCTTAACGATCAACTCCACTTCAATTTCTCCAAGCAATTTTAATTAACTCAAACGGATGCCCTAAGGCGACATGCCTCTTCAGACGTCGTCAAGTATATTAGCTTTATCGAAATACAAATGTTTATCCAGGGTAGTTCATTAAGCAGCTCAAAGTCGTTGCATTCATTGAGTTGCCTATGTGTGTTTTTCCAAATTCGCCGACGGCATCGCTGTCTGTGAGTGAAGGCGGCGACGACGGGCAGCCGAGACAAAAATTGCCGCCGTCATATTGCTAGGGCGTGGCCATGGCCATTCGTAGTGATGCGAATTGTGGCCTTATATCGTCGTCGTCATACAAATGTCTCCTCTTCCGTTACCGCAGCTGCCGCCCATGCTGCATCTTCTGCCACTGCGCAACCATCGCTGATGACCCGGCAATGTGCCCGACGACGTGGATTTCGATCACGGTGGGTACAGACTCTGAGAATTTGTTCGGGATTCTCTTGCACGTAGGCAGGTCCTATGCAGAATAGTTGCCCTTTTGTCTCAAAGATGTGTACAGTAACGTTCTATGATGAAGTGTCAGCAGTATTTCAATCGACTCGTTGGTAACTAAATTGACAACTCACTCAGTGGCTGGACCTATGACGGCCGAGTTGCGCGTCATTGAATCGCGTTCTAATCAGGCCGTCAAGTCCTATTGAGAAAAAAATATCACGAGATATGGGAGGCTGCGGTTTGAAAGTCGCTAATAACATTTCCAGTAAGTATGATACCAATTACGGCTGTCACATATAATAATTACTGCCTGATTGGCTAAGATATCAGTTAAGCTTGAGCAAAAGCTTAAGGCAATGAAGCCGTAACTAGAACCCAGTTGTGCTAGATTGTAGGTAGAAATGTTGGCCGAAAATGGATGCCGGAAACCTCATTACGTGGACTTGCGGATGGCAAAAAGTTGAAAACTGAGTTTTCTCACATCCGATCGGGACGCGTCTGTAGTTTCCCGGACTACTCAAAGAGTGTGACGACAATTTGGCCTGTGGAATTCCGATTTGTTAAGCTGTCGATCGAATTCGTTTCAAAATCTTCTTGGAATTTCTCGAAAATGTTCACGGTGCTTGACCAACGCTCGAGCGAGGAGGTCCACCTTTCTAAACAACTCTGTTGCTAGCTCCATGCAGCTGATGGTACGATTGGCTCGCTAGGCTTGAGCGGAATGGAATTCATGAAAAACGAGCGTTTTCCTGCAAAAGCCAATCAGGTACTCCAAGGTTCCAAGCTCGATTAACTGGTAACTGATTTGTTTGGTGGCCAAAAAACACAAGCCTACAGATCGACTAACTCCGAAACTTGTTATACTAGCAAAAATGAAAAAGTTGCTCTGCGAAGAATCTTTTTTGGCTGAGTTCAGTCCCATACTGGGATGGATACATGCAATGAACAATCCTTTTGAGACCGCAGAGGCATTTGAATGAGTATTTTCTCTACTTGCTAGATCCAGCTGATATCATGATTACTGCTGCTATTTTTCCGATCTAGCTGGCATCTGGACAATTGAAGAGACCCGGCTCGTTGTGGATGACTGTCGAGCCAAGATACGATACCCGGACAGAACCCGCCCTTGATTCCGGCGTTTTTTGACATCACCTCGGGCTATCACTCTGTACGATCGTTCATGAACAAAAATTCTCCAGCTAAGGCAATCAGGGAGTTATCGCAAAAGTCGAGCCTGTGCAGTGTCTAGAAGCGCAATGAATCCTCAATAGTTCACTGGCTCATTTCCTTTTCACTTAACGAAGTCTTTCATCGCCTTTGATGAGTGCGAAGCCCGGTTTTCGTCCTGATAAAGAAAACATTGCTTCGAATTCTGCTCGAACTCGGAGCAGCAACGAATAACTTCCCAGTGGTCTAGGACACTTGCTGGGGAGAGTTCAACGAGAACATCATGGGGCATGCGACGACTGAGATGCCATGGATGGATGAATTGGATGGCATTTCAAATGATTTCGTTTACTCATTCACTTTTTCAAGCCCCTAGATGACCACATTAATCGAGCAGTACCCTCAAAACCATGGCAAACGGTTCGTCTGTGGAAGACTTTCTTAAAATCTCCAACAAAAAATCTTATGGTATTCCATAAATCAGACGGCTCAAAAAAATCAATCGCTTATAAGTAAAAATGAATCCAGCTGGAACAAAACTGAACTTTGCAGTTCAAATGATTTATTCCATTTTTTCAAGAATTTTTCTTAAAGAAGCACTGAATTTTTCAAAGGAAGTTCAAGAACAATTAATTTGTCTGAAATATCCATAATAATTAATTATTTGCTGGTCACACTCACAGCCTATTATTTATTCATTAATGCCTTTTTACCCTTTATCAATTATTTATATCAAATAATTTTTTTTATGATTGAATGTTATTCATAAAGATTGGAAAATCCCAAACAACTTGAATTACCCCTCGGGGCTATTCGGTTTTTTGGCTTTTTTTTTGCAAAAATCACTTAGTAAGCTTAAGTGCAGTAATGAAGCTGACATCATGGCTGACTGGTTGGCTGGGCAGAAGTTAAAGTGCTGCCATTGTCGTTTGCATGTTTGATAGGTGCTTTGCATTTTTCTGGAAAACTGCTTTCCGCCATCACTTTGGGATCAATAGAGCTGAATGGGAGAAACCTCCCACCCCGAAAAAACAAATAGGGAATGCAAAGCATGTAATTCGCTGGGAAACAAACAGCACGGGATTAATTAGTTAATTGCTTCTGACGTGTGCTCCGATTTGGAGAGCTCATTGGACCGACGAAGCTGTGAAGGTAATTCGAACCAGTGGTTTTTGGCTTTTTCTACCAAACATCGGGACTCAAAACCTGCTTTTTCTCTGGGCCAACATGTTAGAACTGTGGCAGGCACTAGGAGAACTGCAAACAAAATCTGGACCTAAGGTCACACAGGTGTGATATGATCAGTTGACGGGAGCAATCGCAAGAAAATGACGATAAAAATATAAAAAATGGAAAGTAAACTGTAAAAAATTCTGATAAATATAGTGAAAACAAAAATCTATTAGTAAAGAACAAAATTAAAAAAAAAAACGAAAAAATCCCAAAGTGCAAAACCTCAAACCAATTTGTAATTTTTTTTGGAAATATTGGAATTCATAGAAGAAAAAACGTTCGGAGCAATTCGTGATAGAGCTTCAATACCCTCAGAAAAGTTGCAATAATTTTGCATTAAAATGATAATATTTTTGATTGATTACTTTGGAATGCGCCATGCTTATGTCTTTTCTGGGACGCGCTGCTCTTTAATTTGATAGGGGTCGTAATGGGGCTTAATACATGTAGATGGCAGTGCGCCTGGTTTCTCGAGAAGCTATAATGCTTGTTGAAAAGCCAAATGATTGTCGTATAATGAGGATAATAAAGTGAATAAACAGTTAGAGCGGAATGCAAGGAGTGGGTTATCCAGCTATTAACCCATGAATAGCTGCCAACGCTCTATGATCGTCGTAAAGGAATTTCTTGTTGTAAAAATCGAGTCATAATCCATGGTATGCGGGAAGGCAGCAATTTCTAGCTTGACAAATGCCATGGAAACGTTCTCTTAAGGGATTTTTGTTTGTTGGCATTATAATGAGATGATTCCGTGCCGAGCATCTCACCTCCTTCCCCATAATAGGAATGAAAACGATTATTTAATGGGAAATCCCATCAGAATAGGCAGTTTTCATGGATAAATAATGGTTCCAAACGGGTGAATTCCTTTTTCTCGCCTCTATGCCCTTCTGCCCCTCACCCTCAGTCAATCTGCAAAAAAGCACCCCATGGGAAAATTGGCTTGCGAAAACATTTCAGCTGTCAATCGGTTTGTTACTTTGTATGCCGATGGAATTTGTTGGGGAAAACATAGGCGTTGCGAAAATCCAACCATACAAAATAGCTTCATTTCAAGCTGACTTGTTTGGGGCATGAAATTGCAGTACCGCAGAGCGCCTCGTTACTGGGCTGAGCTGAGTAAGCCAGATAGGGTCGATTTAACCAATTCTGGGGTACAAAGTTAAGATACAAACACTAGCTAAGGCCATAGACGTGAGTATAAGTCACTTCACAGGAAATCAGGGATTTAGTTTAGGTCAAATTTAACCCCTACTCAAGGTCAGAACCCAAACCAGTGAGCATTAGCACGAGGGCCGTAAAGTAGAGAGCCTCTTCCTGACAGATTCACATGATGGTTAAAAGTAAGATTAAAAGTAAGAGTTTCGAATGGGTTAGAATTTGTAAGATTCCTCCCAGCTTTACATGACCGTGTCATGGGGCTTCTGAGCAGAAGCCGGAAATAAATTTGCAGTAAGCCAGCGATTAAGCCCAGTCGGATTCGACCGTTCCTACAATTCATAAATCTTACGTATAGGAATGAAGATTTTCTGTAGTCTATCCCATAGCTGCTAAGCTTCCTCATCCTCAAGCAATTGCAAAAATTATTTTTTATCAAAATTTCAGCGGCAATGCATTGACGTCGTGTCCGGATGTCGTTCAACCGGTGCTGGCCCGAGGTACTTGCGTTCATATTGTCGGTGTATTTCAATCGGCCATCCCTACAGCAGATGCCAACAATCTCGGTAGGTATAAAGGGTTTTATCACTTAATTTCCTAGTTTTAAGAATTTTGACTCAGTTTTCAAACAAAACCGGCTTCCTGTTACCGATCGCCCCACAGAGAATAAATATTCACCCCAATCTAGACCATCACCCCATCGAAGTGACCGTAAATTCGATTTGGGCACTGGAAAAAGTACAATTCTGTCGAATTCGTTGAACGAACAACTAGGATGAGCTTTAATCAAAATCTTGTTTACTATCTATCTGGGGGCCAATAGCCAAAATCGAATGTAAAACCCACCCCCGGCCATGTTCTCCTTTTCATATCACTAACTCAATTATTTGTTTACTATGTATGATTACTTTTTTCATTGTTTTCTTTTCACAGTGCAATTCTGAACAGGCTTCCCCAGAGAGTGGAGGTGTGGCTTAAGAGGTTCTCTGTGCTCTAAATTACTAACTAACCCGAAAAAGGCTTCGCCCACGTTGCCCTTGAATTTGCACTTAGTTGGATAGCCTACTGACTCTTCCTTCCCAAAATGGATTAACTTTAACATCCTGTGTGAACCTGATTTTTATGAATTTCGGTGAAAAAAGGGCATTAAAAGAAAAATTGGGCGAAGAAAGCGAAGAAAAGGGCATAAGCGATTTTTTTTCTAGAAATAAAGTGGCTAGCACTTTCTACTCCATCCGCAAGTACTCTAATCTGATTCAGATTTGATGGATCTACCCTCAACCTTACCATCGTGGGTGACGGAAAAAGTGCATTCACTAAGTAGAAACATGCATTTGCAATCAGGATGTACGTTTTATGGGGACACCTTGGGACACCGATGGAGAATCTGTCTCGGGGTTCTTTCAAGTTGACGAAAGGGGCATTTTCACTTCGTTTACAAAGCTGTACAGCTTCGATGCTTCCATAAAGCAGGGAGGCATCGGACAAAATGGTTAGGGAAGCCTCAATGCAACCCATAGAAGACGAGTGGATTGATGAAGTCGGAAGTCGTA